AGTTTTGCCAGCTCTCTCTCTCTCTCACTCTCTCACACACCCACACAAACACACGCTATACCGTGGATGAGCGTGCGGAAACCTTTTCCACCGTGTGCTCGATCGAGTTTGACAAGGCTTTACACGCGATTTGTGAGGGCGCATGATCTACCAGATACAGGCGTCAAGAGCGTCTTAGGCCGTAGACGTTTAGACGCCTCGCCACGGTACCCAACGGCGTCTAGGTACAGGCGTTGGCGGTCAAACATCCAGGGGAAGGCGGTCTGGATCCGCCAATCAGCACAGCAGCAGAAAATTCCACTGCGGAGGCCAATGAATTCTGGCAGATGTAACACGCCTCCCTCCTCCCGAATCCATCTCTTTTTCACTCACCTCAGTCATCAGCTGCGTCGCACAAAACCGACCGGGTCAGTCAAATCCTTCCTCCCGCGGCGAAGAGGCAAGCGTCAAAGCTCAAGCGGCGTGACACAGAGCTCGGGCACCGTTGCTTTAAAATTTTGCCATCGCCTCCCCTCCACGTGTTACCCCGTACTTCGAGCCAACTTCCTCCCTTCCTCCCCTCCAACGAGCATGGCCAAGTGCTCCCGATTCCATCCCTTCATCGCTGTCCTCCGCGTGCGAATCAGAATCATGCTTCCCCTGTAGTTGATCTCTCCTGTGCTTTTGATGGCCCCTGTTCTCTCTCGCACCTAGCTTTCATCCGCGTTTCCTCCCGCCGAGGTCGGTCTGAGATTCGAGACCATATTGAGCAATACATCAGGAAGATCTCGGACACCATGAAGTTTGGTCGAAATCTGCCTCGAAACCAAGTCCCGGAATGGGCACCCTCCTACATCAACTACAAAGTGCTCAAGAAGCTCATCAAGGCCGCTGCCGCAGGGGCAGAGAAGCAAGACGGAGAAAGTCCTGATCTGGCTGGTAGGATGGGGTTGAGATGAGAATCAACCGTTGTGAAACTCATGTTTTGTTCTAGGATTCTTTTACACCTTGGATCGCAACCTCGAGGACGTGGACCACTTTTACAACAAGAAATTCCAAGATTTTTCACGGCGTCTGAAACTTCTCGAAGACAGGTACGGAACCTCTCCGCAAGCTGCGACGCAGCTCGATGCCGATGAAGGCGAAGACCTCCTTGCGGCGCTCTTGGAACTGCGTGGCGATCTGAGAAAGCTACAGTGGTATGGAGAAGTCAACAGAAGGGGCTTTATCAAGATCACAAAGAAGTTGGACAAAAGGATCCCCACCGCCCATGCGCAGAAGAAGTACCTGGAACTGAAGGTGGACCCGTCGCCGTTTGCGACAAATACCCAGCTCTTTACCTCGTTGAACAAAATCAACGATTGGATCTCTGTGTTGGGAGAGGTTGCGGCCGCTGCTAGGAACACGGCTGACGACGTTGCTTCCATCTCCTCGGGGTCGTTGAAGCGTACAACTTCTCGGCCTTCTTTGAACATTTCTGTCGAGCAGTTGGCCAAAGTCGAAGCCAAGATCCGTCAAGATGATGCAAAGAGTCTCGAAGAATGGATCATGAGCATATCAAAACAAGGGACTGAAAACTCGGAGGCCGCGGTGCAGTTACTGTTGAACAATCTCCTCCAGAGGGCAATCTCTTCTCGGAGTCGGACCTGTACTGCGTGCCTGCTGCGCTACATTGTCTTCCTGGATGCCCACGATGACATCAATCATCGCAATTGCATCCATCGGCTGATAGTTTCGATCGGTCGCAAACAGTCGCATGCCAGCCAGGAACCCGCCACCGAACCCTTGGCCGATGCTGAAGCAGATCTCCACAACTTTATCACCCCTGCTGCGCATCCCTCCCCCGCCCTGAAGCGTTCGATCTTGCAAGAAGACCAGCGGGTGCAAAATTTTACGCGTAAGGATGAGGCTATTCTATTCCTGCAATTCCTGCTTGACAACCTGAAGCCTTCACAACAACCTGCTTTGTTGGCGAGGGATAGCGCGGGGAGAACACCACTGCATTTTGCGGCAGAATACGGCATTAGAGTCATGTGCGAGATCATCATTGAGCATCTCAGAGCGTGGAAATTGTTCGATGTCGCAGAGGGCATTGACGGGTCAAAGTGGCAGGACGATGAAGGATGGGCACCTTTACATCTCAGCGCCATCGGCGGTCACCCTCTGACTACCAAGGCTTTACTCGACGCCGAGAAGAGTATGGGCTTCATCCCCATGCGGAGATCAGCCAAATTGTCGATTGTCTTGGCTTTGGCCACAAAAGCGAATTTTATTGAAATCGTCCGGCTTCTTATCCAAGCAGGGGTTGATATCAATTACCAAGACGAGCTGGGTGATACGGCGCTCCATGTGGCTGCTAGGTTCGGCCACGTGGAGTGTGCCAGACTACTTCTCGACGGCACAGATGAGCAGAAGGCAAATATCGAGCTATTCGAAAAGGCTTACGGATGGACCCCATTGTTCATCGCTTGTGTTGACGGTCATCTTCCAATTGTGGACTTGCTGATCGACCATGGGGCTGATCTCGAACGCCTGGATTCGTCAGGCTGGAATGCAAAGGAGCACGCCGCTTTGAGAGGTCATATAGATATTGCACAGAGACTTGACAGTGTTATGCCTGAACTGGACGCCGAGCCGGATGTTTCTGTGGCCTCGACGTCTCCCCCGTTGTCGTCATCCCTAACCGAGCGAAACTCCAATGCCCTGGGATCAAATGGCCCGACAATCAAGACCACCGAAGCTGTTAAGACCTTTGGTCATCGATATTTGACAGACAAGAGCATGATCTTGGTCAGTCTCGGCACTATGGACACTCGCAAAAGTATTCGTGCGGTTAATCTTGATCGAATACCACTTTCGAGTGCGCACTCAACCCAGCTCGATACCGCTCTTTCGATTGTCGTCTCAGCCAAAGCGGCCGAGGGTGAGCCTGAGGTCATTGACCTCCCAGTCCAAGACAATATTGCGACAGAACCAATTGTCTTTCACGCAGCCGATCCATCCAAAGTCAAATTGTATTTTGACCTCATCCCGACTTACGCCGGCTCTCACGAGCGCGTCGTCGGGCGTGCTGTCGCTTTGCTATCAAGTGTCAAGTCGAGTGTAGGAACAAAGAGGATGTCATTACAAGGCGATGTGACCGTCCCCATTGTTGCGGCGAGCGATCTTGAGGTTATTGGCTCTGTCACGTTTAATTTCCTCGTCATTACCCCCTTCAACCATCCCAATATGTCGGTAACGGAACATCAAACCTACTGGAGAAGCATGGCGTCGACCATGGTCATTGGGCATCGTGGCCTGGGCAAGAATTTCGCCGCCGGCAGGCGATCTCTTCAGCTAGGCGAGAACACCATTCAATCCTTCATCGCCGCGGCAAACCTGGGCGCCTCATACGTCGAATTTGATGTGCAACTCACGAAAGACCACGTACCTGTCATCTATCATGATTTCCTCGTCAGTGAGACGGGCATCGACGCACCCGTGCATACTCTCACACTTGAACAATTCCTCCACGTGAATGACATGCGAACACCCCGCCATTCCAGACCTGCGTCACCTGTACCATTTGAAAAGCCGAAATCAACCAGTGTGAAGAGCATCGATCGGGATTTACGAGCATCCAGACTGAGATCCATGTCCGTGAGCGGAGCCACTAGCAACGAGTCTCTCGAGATGGACGAGCGGATGAAACATACCCGCGACTTCAAGAAGAAAGGCTTTAAGGGAAACACTCGAGGCAACCATATCCAAGCGCCTTTTGCCACTCTCGAGGAAATGTTCAAAAAGATTCCACAAGATGTGGGTTTCAATATTGAGATGAAATATCCAATGCTATTCGAAAGTGAAGACGAAGACATGGACACATATGCCGTGGAGCTCAACTCGTTTGTTGACACGGTCCTGACCAAAGTATATGACTTGGGCAAGGGAAGGAACATCATCTTTTCGAGTTTCAACCCGGACATCTGTCTTCTGCTGTCGTTTAAGCAGCCTAGCATCCCTGTCCTGTTCCTGACGGATTCCGGGACGAGTCCTGCGGGTGATATCCGCGCCACTTCACTACAAGAAGCCATCCGCTTCGCGAGTCGCTGGAATTTGCTTGGGGTGGTAAGCGCTGCAGATCCTCTGGTCGCCGCGCCTAGACTGGTCAAAGTAGTGAAGGAAAGCGGCCTTGTGTGTGTGAGCTACGGGACACTGAACAATGACAGTGCGATGGTGAGGAGACAAGTGAGGCAGGGAATCGATGCGGTTATTGTGGATAATGTGCTTGCTATTAGGAGAGGCCTGACGGAGGACGTGGCGAAGATCAGTGGTACAAGTACTCCTAATGCCGGAGTCAAAATAACAGGGGAGCAAAATGGGACCGGCGAAGGTGATCTGAAAAAGTTGCTAAATGGGGTGGAGAGTTTGAAGATGCACAACGCTGCTCACTCAGCAAAGAAGGTCGAACAGAAGCGAAATGGCGGAGAACGTGGTAACGGCGAGGCGAACGGCCTTGTCAGTGAAGAAAGGAGAGCATGAGGCGACGGTGCTGGTTGCTGGCAGTTTGTTGAGAGGTTCACGACGCTGCTTGTCTGAGACCTAGGAGTTATCGGAGGAATCATTCCCGCTATTGAAAAGGTGTTAAGCCAACTGAATGGGGGGCAAGGTGTTGAAAAGCGAAAAGAGGTGGACTGAGACAGAGTGTCCGACCCAATGCAGCGGCGAAGGATCGAGGAGCTGGATTGCACATCCAGGCCGCAAGCGCAGGAGGGACCATTTTTATGTTTTATCATTGCGATGGGCTGGCGTTTGTGAAACATGGGAAGGAAAAGTAAGCAGGGAAATATGGTCAAACCTTGTTTTTACTCCCAAATAGAAAGGCCCTTTTCGTCTTCGTACGGAGTACATTTATCACGTCCTTCATATCCGTTATTTCGCTTCGCACTAGTATCATATCGCTGAGCATTAGACCGCATCACAGCCGCAACACGGCGCCACCGCAAAGCATCCAAGGCATCCAAGACATCACATGGCGTCATTTACATCAAACAGGCTTCCTTCTCCGAGGAATGTAGCTCGCTCCCTCCGATCCGGACCCGGCGACCTCTTGCGGCGGCGGCGCGGCGCGGTAATGGCATGCTTCGTTCTGCGCTGATGGGTGCTGAACAGTTGCCGGTCGATAGATGTGGTGCTGGCGGTGCTGGCGGTGTCACCAGTGCCGATGCCGGGAGGCTTTTCCTCTTCCCCTTGTTGTTGTTGTCGTTGTTGTCGCCGCCAGCGCCACCACTGCTGCTGCCGTCGAGATTCATGCTCTGAGCTTGTCCCGGCGGTGGCTGCTGCCGCTGTTGTGTCGCATGAGCGGTCTGGGGTGGAGGAGGCTGCTGAAGCGGCGAAGAGGAAGGGAGGTAGAGGTAGACGTCGACGAGCCACTCGTACCAGACTTTACGGTCGTCCGTCTTGCGCCACATTGTCAGGGTGATTTCCGAGTTGTCGGGGAGGAAGAGAGGTCTCTGTTTTTGAATTTTCCCCCTAATTTTAGCGAATTTCGGTGCAAAATAATGGGGGACTATTATGTGTTGTATATATGTATGTGTGCGTGTGCGTGTATTCAATTCAGATGGAGCTGGTGAGAGACCAAGGAGATAAGGAAGGAAGGAAGAAGGCCACTCACCTTCAGCGGGAAAAATATCGGAAACCAACTAATCATGCCCTCGCTCTTTTGGTCCATGGTGTCGGGATTCGTCGACAACTCGACGCCCTTGTAGAGCACGGTCTCGAAGTAGCCCGCCAGGCCGTGGCATGTGCCCCGGTGCGGGATCGGGAAGGTCAGCTGGCATGAGCGGGCGTTGTGACTGTTGGTGAGGGAGGGTTCTGTCGTCGTTGTGCCGATGGTGGACGGGCTGAGGGTTGGTAGGGCCGGGTTCGGGTGCAGAAACGCCCATGTCTGTTGTATGACGGGGACTGGCGTTGGCGGCGTTGGAAAAGGAGGACCAACGGGTTGTTGGGATTGACGCGTGTGCGCTCTCGAGTAAGGCGTCGCAACTGTGGTTGTGGTCTCGGGTGGTGAAATAGGACTTTGCATCTCGCTTGGAGTTGGATGACTTTGAACGGGACCCGTCGACAGACCGCGCGACGACTTGGCGTCTGCAGCAGCGGACGGCTTCGTGCTCAAGTAGTCGATCGCGTTGAACATGACCACATACGGCGTCTCGCCCGCATTGGGATTACTGCCCATTCCATGCAATATGTCCGCGTGAAGCTTTGGTGCCGCGATCGGCGTGATGTGTGCAGTGTACGATGCCGGAATGGAGATTCCATGGACCGGGTTCAGGAGGTGCTGGACGCCGTCGAGGCATTCGGGAGAGAGCTCGTTGTCGCCGAAGGATCCTAAGAGTTCGCTTATCAGGATGTCGATCTTATAGGGCGTTGGCGTGGTGGTTTGGGTGCTCGTCGCAAGCAGGTATGTCGTATCGAGGGTGGGTGAGCCTGTGAATGTCGGTTGTTGGGCGGTGGATTCTTTCTCTGCATTCTTGTCGCCGTCCCCGTCATTGCCATCACCATCACTGTCAGGCGAGGTGTTGTATATTCGAGTCGGTTTTGCCGTACTTGCAGCGCGAATGGGTCCCCTCCACGTCCTCATGTCCGACTTCACCAAATTCACTCGGCCATTCCACATTGTCTTGTTATGGCGCTGAAGAAGGACAAACGCATTCGGGTTCTTCTCCAGCGCCCACATGTCAATCTCCACCCCGACGTCTTGGCTTGCCTTGAGTGCGCGAGTTACCAGTGGCCCACGACCTGCTCCCACTACAGCAACGACAACGCGTCCGTCCGGGTTGGAGGTCGGTTTTCCTTGTTCAATCCAGTCATGCAAGGCCCGGGCGATGGCGCGCTCGTACCACGCATACTTGACCGGGTCTTTCTCAAAGACTTCATACGTGATGCTTTCGAGGTTGACAGTTAGCGGCTGCAACGGCGCCTGTAGATAATCTTGATAGCCGGCCCCGAAGCGATCAATAGGCGATTGAGGTGGTTGTTTGGTTTGCAAGTTGCGCATGTACGAGAGGTGAGGAGTCGGGTCTTTGAGGTCTGGAGTTTGTGCTGCTTCGGCGAGCGTAGGGAATGCGTTGGTCTCAGCCGCGGCTGGGTTGACCATGCCCCCATTTGTGGCGCTGCTAGGAATAGTCCCGACGTTGCATAAGAGGAACCATGGTGTTGTACGGAGTCGGGCAAATCTCAGGACGAAGGCTTGATGAGCGCGAGTCAGCACGGGATAGCCTTTGGCGTTCTTAGCAAACATTTGCTTGTCGAGGGTGAGCAGCCGGACGGGTTCGGAATACCATCTTGACTGGACGGGGACTGGAGGGAGCAGCTTTGGTATAGACAAGGCTGGAGTTTGTCAGCGTCAGAGACCGGGCAGAAAGGCGACGAGGGATACCGCAAGAAATGTATTACGCTTACCTACACACAACCTAGAAGGATATTTACATATCGATCTAATGAGGTTCCATGCCTCCCAGGTTCCGAAAAGATCCAACCTTTCGATTTCAGCCTCGTCCTGCTCTAAAAATTGCGGACGAGCAAACGGAGCTAGATTGCCCATCTGGTCGACGTGTTCCTCAGAATGGTCAATCATGGGAAACCATATATATAGTTGCATGTAGGGAGCTTGGCCCAGGGCATCCAAGATCACTCTCGCACATTGAGCCACCCCGCTGTCAGACACGCCTTGACCACGAAGAAGAGGGCCTGGGATCAGCACATACGTGAGCCCGCAGAAGGCAGCATAGGCCAATTCCAGTTGCAGGACCTGTCGGGAGACATCCGCGATGATCGGATCTGGAGAACCAAGGTCGATCCAGGAACTTGTAATACCTATGGTCTGGCTAATAGACTCATCGGGCGTCAATGGAGTATCCGCTGGAGTCAGTGGTGGAATAATGACAGGTGAAGCGCTCTTGGTTTTTGTGATGTCTTCTTCTGAATGGAAGGGAAGGGATGAAGAGAGTAGAGTTAACACCCGGCTATGGAAATGGGGAGTCGTGATGGGGCTCGTCACCATGTCATACTTGTTTGTCTGAAGTCAGCCGACATACGACAGATCAATAAAGACTGGGCCTCACATTAGCGGCATGAGCATCTTGGACGGTCTCCATCGAGACTGGTATTGGTCTCTTGGGGTCATGGTGCCCGATGATGAACCTGGGAGCTTCTTCCATCTTGAGGCAATGATTCTTGTCAAGCGAGAAGATCAAGATTCCGTGTTTAGCAAGAGATTAAGGAGATCGTGACTGTTGATAGTTGGGCCTCGAGTCGCTCCATTTTTGACCTTGATCGGAAAATATTTAACTGGCCAGCCTTGTCATCAGACCATTGTCGCACACGGCACGAATCCTGATCCGCAAACGAGTCTTGGGCGGTTTAGAAGCGTGATATGCCGCAGAGAATTGGAGCAGCTGGGTCCAACAAGTTGGAGTAGAGAGACTGAACGGGGGTTGGTGAAGGGAAAATTGCATTTCTACTCGGTACACGGAAGCGGAAGAGGAAGAATGTGAGGCGGCACGCTCGAGATTACCAAAAGAGACTAGCGTGTCTCCAGCTCGATTGAGACGCCCAGCAATTTTGTTTGCGTGCAGTTCATCTTGCACCTTTTACCTTCCACACTGCATATCGACTCTGTCTGGCAGACTTGAGCTGCATTGGCACTATGAGTGTCGCTCGGTCCTCTGAATGCCTATTCTGCCTCTTTTCACGGTCCCCTCGTCCGAAGTCCCTCCCTCGCCGCCAGTTCCATTCGGCTCCTGTCCACCAAAAACGAAAGCCCCGTTTCCCCAGCGTGAAAGCAGAGATTAGCCAGGTGGATCTCAATGCACAAGCCAAAGAGTTTCCTTCAGTACAACATGGCGCGATCGCGGATCGATACTCTCCAGAACAGCGCGCGGCCATCGAGGCAGCGCAGAAACTCATCGATCTTGACAAAATGCAGAAGCAGACTGGCATGCGGACAGATCCCTGGAAGCTAAAATACTACGATGAATTGACCAAAATCGATCCGGTGGTGGATAAGCCAGTGCGGGCACCAATGACTAATATCGATGACAAGTCGAGGCTGAAGACGGATGAAGAGCTGGAAGACGACTTTGTCAAGTTCATCAATGAGATTCCTGAGCCTAAACACGAAAACGACTACGACCAGGATCTATGGGACAAGTTTGACAAGAATCTACGCATGACAGTCGGACGCGAGGAAGCGGAGAGGAGTCCTCCAACGGCGCTGGCTCCAGACTTGCCGAGGATTTCGGAGCCCGCCAAAACCCAGAAGAAGAAATCTAGAGGAGACGAGGAGGGAAGTGGGAGAAAGGAGAGAGTGGTTTCACCTGCGCTCTTGCAATTGATGCAAATGACCGGATACAGCGAGAAACAGATCCTGCAACTCAGGGTCAAGACCGTCATACAACACCGCGTTGTGAATCAGACGAGGCTGGGCAAGATTCAAAAGATGTATGCTTTAAGCATTGCCGGAAATGGTCAGGGCCTCATCGGCATAGGAGAAGGAAAATCGCAGGAAGGCTCTGCAGCTATTGTTCAGAGCCAATATCGTGCCATTCGGAATATGGCTCCTATTCTGCGGTACGAAAATCGAACTATTTACGGCGATCTGAAAGCCAAGGTCAGCGCCACCGAGCTGGAATTATATGCAAGACCGCCAGGTACGCTTTGCCCGCCTCCTTGCCTAGATGACTGTGCTAACTGATTCACTCACAGGCTTCGGACTCCGTTGTCAACAATACATATGGGAGATTTGCAGATGTGCGGGTATCCATGATCTGGCTGCCCGGGTGACACGGTCGAGGAATCCTATGAATACGGTCAAGGCCACAGTGCAGGCTCTGTTGAGCCAGAAGCACCCAGAGGATATCGCGAGAGCCAGAGGCAAGAAGTTGGTGGATGTTCGCAAAGTGTATTATGCAGGCCAAACATAGACGGGGAATTTGTATAGTATCAGCATGCCGCACCGAATATATGCAGCACTCCTCGTTGAGTCTGTGTCATGTTCTGTACAAAACTAGGGTGAGCAAATTCCGACTGGCGAACTGCACCAATTTTAAAAATGCAGATTGATCTGACACGTCTTCGTCGTGGGTTATTAGGTACTTTGTGTAGCTCGTCAATTGAATCCGTCCCGTACACCCATCATATTCTCGTCCATGGATACCAAATACCAGCATACAAACCAAGCCCTGTGTGCCTCTCTTCTACTCGCCGGCTTCTCCTCCGTCGTCATCCTGTCTGTCCCTTACGCCGTCCTCCATACCCTCGACCTGTCCCTGCTGCAGCACGATACTGTACACACTGGCCTTCATCAACGTGTACACGCTGGCGACCCGGCGTTCCAGCAGGCGAAGACCCTCTGCGATTTCGAGCGTGATGGGACCGCTGGAGAGGTCGGCAAGCGTCGACGAAAGCTGAGCAGAGATAACAGATGGTCAGACACTATATCTGGCGTTCGAGGAAGAGAAAGAGAACCGCTTCCAAAACAAGTTCGAGAGCTGTCCCTCCTCCTCTCTTACCTACTCACTCAGCCACGTACTCGACGGGGCAGTCTCTTTTCTTTGGCGCTTTGCTCTCCCCTGGCGAGCTCCCCAGGATTTGAAAAGGACCAAAAAGACAACAAGAAGAACAGGAACAAGATCATCGTAAGAAAAAAACTCACCTCCTTCATGTTTCTCGATAACCTCTCATATTCGTCCAAGACCTCCTGTTCCAAATGCGACACCCCGGATGAGGATTGGCCCGTAAAACTTAGAAGACTGTGCTTCGAGTCGTTGTAGATTATGCTTTCGTCCATCTCGACGTAGTGGTAATAGAAGAATCCAGGATCCAGAGAACAGCGAAAAGTGTGGTCCACAAAAATCCACGATAGACTGAGTCCATTGGAACCGCGTCCTCTGCGGCTAGAAGGTAAACTACGCTTCAGTAGCTACTGTGTCACCGCAGAGGCTCTGGAGAATGATAGGGGAGAGTATTGGGACGATAGACGCAGATTTCATCGTTTGTCTAGTTTGCAGTTTGCAGTTTTGTTCCTCCCCGCATGTGTCTCCACGTCGCTAACAGATGAGGCTGGAAAAGCCTCTTAGTATACCTAGGTTCCCAAGTAGACACGATGCTGAGTGGACAGGACGTTCTATCTTGATGGAGACGCGGTATAAAATCCGCACTACTCCGGCTATTCAGTCGATTCCTTGTCTCCACGCATTCAACACACCCGAGGCTCGTCTCAAAATGGTCATCCAGGCGATGCTTTTTGGGTGCAGGGATATGTCCCTTGCCTCCTCACGACTAGGATATCTCTTCGTTGACCACCCTTGAACGCGCTTCTTCACAGTCATCCACGAGCAATGGCACTTCTAGCTGCCGGCGCCGCGGCAGTAGCCGCCACGGGAATCAGCATGTATCTCGACGCCAAGTACTCAATTCGAGCCGACATCGCCCAGCTTCAAGGAGCCAAGCATCTACAGAAGTTCGTCGAGGACCTGTACAAGGAACATGGGGAAGATGACTGGTCCTTCTATCATGTCCTGCATTCGACGTACGCGGAAAACCACCATACTGACAAGGAGGCATTTGTCTTTGAGGGCCGCGCCTGGACCTATCGCGAGTTTCGTGAGGAAATTGGTCGACTTGCCGAAGCATTTGAAAGGCTCGGTATCAACAACCGGACTGTGGTTGGAATGTTTGTCAACAATTCGCCAGAGTTCGTTATCGCTTGGTGGGCTCTCTATAAGCTCGGAGCCATCGCCGCGCCAGTGAACACGTCCATTACTGGGACCCATATCAAGCACTGTCTCAAAGTCAGCGAGGCAGAGTTCTGCATCACCACTTACGAGCTGTATGGCACCTTGATAAAGGCTTTGGTGCGAGACGAGAGTCACCCAGGTTCACCGACGCAAGAGTCATCGCCTTTTCCAAGGGTTATATTGTACGATTATAGCTCGTACGCTCCAATCCGAGCTGATCTTCAAGAAAATGTGCTGCTAAAGCATGAGGAGTTGCCCCCTGTAACCCCGGAAATGGCCGATTTCCCTAAACACAAGAGACCCAAAGTCGGTCCTACCGACGCTGCGCAATATCTCTTCACATCTGGAACCACAGGGATGCCCAAAGCTCTGATCTGGCCGCTTGGATATAACCGTCTGAGCGGGAACCCACAGAGATGGCCAGGCATGCAAGGAAGCCATAGAAGATGGTATATCTGCTTGCCTATGTTTCACGGGACCGCTTCCTTCGCCGCCCTACCTGGCGCATTGGCGTCCTCCGGGACCGTAATTCTTGCTCGGCGGTTCTCACGCCGGGAGTTCTGGGCCGATGTCCGGCGTTCACGGGCGAATGCGATTCTCTATATCGGCGAGATGTTCCGGTATCTCGTCCAGTCTCCCCCCGATCCTCGGTTTCCAGACGAGAAGAACCACGGAGTTGATCTGGCCTTTGGTCTCGGACTGGCTCCCAGTGTATGGCGAGCAGTTAGAGAAAGGTTTGGAATTCCTTGGATAGTAGAGTACTACTCGGCAAGTGAGGCAACGATCTCTCTCCTCAACTCAAACAAGAATGATCTCGGAGTGGGAAAGGTAGCCCGTTGGGGGCCCATAATGCGGAGTAAATGGTTCGGCCAGAGCGCGTTTCAGATAATCAGAGCCGATTTCGAGACTGGAGAAGTGGTGAGGGATCCTAAGACGGGGTTTTGCATCAAGGCAAAGCCCGGAGAGGTTGGTGAGGCGATAAGCAAGATCGTTCCCCCCATCCAAAGGAGGCACGACTATGTTGGAGAGGGCGGGGTGGAAGCCACCCGGAAAAAAAGCTTGAGAGATGTTTTTGAGAAGGGGGACGAGTATACTCGAATTGGGGATGCTTTGGTGATTGTGAGTTCAAGCTTGATATTGAAGAGTGAGCATGCTAAGATGACCATTTCTTGCAGGACGAGGATGGGTTTATTCAGTTTCGAGACCGGCTTGGAGGTAGGTCTTGTTGACGAGACAACTTCACCCGGTACCGCGATGCCCAATATGCTGACGTTGGCTGGCAGACACCTACCGTGCAAAGGGACACAACATCTCCACCACAGAAGTCGAGGCATGGCTCAGTAGACATCCCCAAATTACTTCCGTCAATGTGTATGCCATCCCGATGAACTATTATGGGTATGATGGGCAGCTGGGGTGCGCAGCAATCACTTTGCATGGAGCGTCTCCAGAGCAGTCCGATCGAGCTCACCAGGAGATCATGTCGCAACTAGAACACTGGTTGCGTACCTCAGAAAGCGCTCTGCCGGCGTATGCGGTGCCGCGTTTCGTCAGAATCCTGATCAACGATGGTGCTCCACAGGACTCTGGTGGTATGAGTGGCGACAGCGGCAGTGAACGAGTCTCGATGATCATGAAGAAGCTGAAGACCGGTCTTCGGAAAGACGGTGAGCCTCACTCATTGACCACACACCTCCCTGCCAAATTGCTTATTGTCTCTTACCAGGCTTCTTGATCCCGAAGGGAAACAAGGACCGGATGTTTTGGATCGAGAAAGAAGGAGCAGGGTATACGCCTCTAACTGATGCGGCTATTCAGCGCCTGCTCTCCGGCAAGGCTCAATTATGAGGGCGTGAGGAGTGCGTGGCATGGATACTGGGGTGTCTTTATGCCCCATAAATAGACCGTAATGGGAATTGAGTGTGCACAAGGAATTTCATCCTTGCCATCTTGCCGATCTGCCCCCCTTTTTCTTCCTTCTCGCTTGTCAAGCGCCCACTCGTGCCGATTCGCGACAACGACACGTTTGACTCAAAAGGATTGATAGCGTTGAATACGCCCACAACACAGGCGAACTAGGGGATTGCTTGTTGCTCGGGGTTGCCGGACTTCATCGAGCGGCGTGGCAGTAGTGATGCTTGATCCGGACATCGTGCCAGGATCCGTCACCCGGGGGGGGGGGGATTAGAGCTTGACCAGGATCTGGGTGTGTCGCACGTGGACTGATAGATCGCATGGAGAAATAATGATTGAGTTTTGACGAATGTCCCCGGTCATTATTAGTGGAGGGGATCGTGGCCTGATGGGAGGATGCAAGGTGGAAGCTGGTGAGGAAACGAAACGAAAAGGGGCAGGCCGCAGGCCGCAGACCGCAGTTCGCAGTTCATAGACGAAGGCGCGGTCTAGACACCTCGACGCATCTTCGACTTCCATCCTTTTTCTTCCTGTTCAGCTCAAACTCTCATTTCGCGCCATTGAGAGCGCTGAACGCCATTCCGTGCCCAAATCCCCCAAGTTCCCAAGGCTTTACATCTGCAAGCCAAGGTCTACCAAAGATGCCTTGGGCCAATTGAACCGCCCTGTTTCTGGGCCGCCCCCTTACGCGGGAAAAACGCCATCTTCGGCCCTGCTTCAACCCATCCTCCCCATCACGCATGGGTTCCTCGTCCTGCAAGCCTTGTCCGCTGTCCGCTGGCCGCTGTCTGCTGTTCGCGGCGTCGACTGACTCCCCCGGGGGTGAACCGCGAACCATGCCATCCGCCGGCGGTCAAATGGTGCATGAATGCCCATCAACTTGGCTCGATGCCTTGAATCCTTATCTCGTTCTGGCCCCGCCATTTCTCAGTCCGCTTTCATCTGTCTGGCTGGCGACTTGTCTGACACTCGATCCCTCGATAAAGAGCTACGTGGTACAGCCCACCGCCCGCAGGGCCTGCCGCTGTGAGACTGATCCAGCACGGGGGCTCGCTTGCATCGCTTTGGTCGAACGGTGCACAAGTCAATACGAGCCATTATCGCTGCAGGCAGCCGACCTGCAGGGTGGCAGAACCGGAGGTGCGAAATGCCTTTTGGGACTCTCGTAAAGGATCTGTACCTGCCAATAGCCTGAACTCAGCCTCAGCCTTCAAGAAGCGAGTCATTTCCCAGACTTTCAGACTTTTCTCCTGCTGATGTTTTCGCCCTCCTTTTCGCTTTCTCTCCCTTTTCTGTTCTGTCTCTCATCTGCGTCAAAACCCCTGAAGCCGAGTCAATGAGCTGATACTGGGTCACTATTTCCCTTCCGATCGCCGACTCTGGCACCCAATATTGCCTTGGAGCACCGAGGCCGGAAGCCATGGATGTTATGTCGGTCGAGACATGTGTTCAAGCAGGTGAGCTTACGCTTTCTTTAGCTTGTTTCTCGCTGCGCCTTTGATGTTGTTGCTACCTCGAAAAGAACGACCCACAACCTGGTCAACATCCCTCATGTTCAAGAGTACTGCATACGACGGAGGTCTTGCCTAAATCGGCCAATTCTCCGGACTGCTGGAGGATGCGCGTGTGTGCAGAGCCTCATGGAATCGCTACTTTGAGTAGGCTACACCACAGATACTATTCTGAGATCCGCCTGTACAACACCGTTGGTTAACCACTCCTATATCACGATCCGAAACAGTGGGGCGCGTTATCGACGTGCCTGACGTTCGAGCCTATGGTTGTTGCATTCATTCAGGCTAATCGTCTTTGAAACTACTCACTAACTGGCTTCGCAAACAGTCATTGTAGCATACCGCGATGCTTCAAAGTTGGTACAGCGACTCAAACACAAACAAGAGACCTCGGAAGAGTTCATCCTACCAGAGCAGTTGACGAAAGATTTCGAGGACTCTCTGTCACTAGGATGTACCGCGGTGCAGAGCTTGTATGACCATGATGTTCGTCGCTTTGGTGAGACGTACGCTCGAGGGGACGCCATTGCCCGAGAACAAATGAAGGACATTCTCATCAATCTCCAGCAAGCAGTCATCTCACATCTGCGAGAGGTTTTTATGGATGAAGCGACATTGAACCTCCACATGTTGAAGGAAACATCGGACGATTGTCGGGTGAATGCAACAGTATGCCTTGGCCAGCTTTACCAGCGTATGTCGACGGCAACAGCGGCAATGAAACAAATATCACGTCCATATGTCGATGACCCAGACAAGGTCCAGTTGCCGGGGTCCTTGGCTTATTCAAGCAGCCGCAGTACGCATTCCTCGTTCGGCGGAAGACCATATGACGATCGATCTGCCACATCCTACACCACATACAGTTCAAGGACAGCCGTAGGTTACGATCACAAACCATCTGGTGCTTTGCCGCCGCAACGAAGAACCTCGATGAATTCCACCTTCTCTTACACGAGCGAGCCGCCTAAGAGCCGTACGCCAGGTGAAGATAATGTCCCGGCCCTCCCCTTCCCTATGCAGAGACAGACGAGTCAAGGTTCTGTCGAGGCTACGCCCAATGGTTCTGGTCTGTTTCAGCAACTGGAGGACAGCGCTCCACCGACGAATGCGGCTCCTCCGCCGTACAGACAGAATTTATCCAGGCCGGTTTATACGAGTGATGAAAAGGGCCAAAAATTCCCGAAAGAGTCTAGTTTTTATCAATCACCAGTTGCAGACCAGCATAGTCATGTACCACAGAACACTTCTTTTCAGCACAGTCCTCGAATTGAAGGTGATATCAAGGCCTCTGTGCCCGGCCTACCCGTTCAAGTCCACGAACTTGACCACAGCCAGTCCTTCGAGACCCACCGAACACCAGAGCAGGAATTGACAGCACAAAATACGTCCACGAATGTGCCATCGAATCAACGACCTGCTATTCCATTGAACCCTGATTACAGCACATTAGAATACGTTGAAACATTAGATTCTCGGAGTCGACCTCCGGTAGCTCGAGCACCAGACAATCAGTACCAAAGCTTTTGGCAACAACTACCTTCCCCCCTACAGCAGCAAGTGCAGCAATCAATGTGGAATGGCTATCAAAACCAGCAGATGCTGCATGGACAACCGATCACAAACTCGCCCGTCTCCAGACCCCAGACCAGCAACATCCGGCCCGAAAGTATACCTGCTGCCGTGGACCCGCTCCCCCAGCAAAAGGTAAGTCAAATTCCAGCACATCTTGCGCCTGCGGGACCTAAATTTTCCTTGTTTTCTAGGTACCCACCATCCCTTCAGTTCCACGGCCGCTCTCGATTCGATCGACCGGTTCGAACGGATCAAGACTGGGATCCTTCACGATACGCAAGGGACTGCCACCGGGTATCGCCGATGCGATACACAAGCCTGCGCCCTCGGCTCTGGAGACGCAATTCAATAGCCTGCCTCGCTATGTGAAGCCGAAGGCGCTCGATCTCGCCGACAATGAGCAGATTGCTAACCTCAACAGCCCGACTTCGCTGACAGGGCAGCCAATAGATAACATGTCGGACAGCATTACAGTGAAGTCGACGTCGGAGAGTGCGTCGCTAGAATCTACGATGCGACTCGCATCTGCTTCACCCCAACTACAAATAGCGCGATCGCAGCTCAACTTACCGAGCGAGTCGAATCTTGCTGGGTTCTGCAAAGGCGCAGTAAGGCAGCAACTTGGGGGACGGAAAAAGGGGTTCTCCCTCGAGCACCGAAAGGGGCCCAAAGGACAGGAATATTTCTGGCGATGCACCAAATGCAACTTCGAAGGACCGGCGCTTGTGTCGAAGGCGCTGCCGAGTGGCGGCCGAGGCTCGGTCAAGACGGAGAAGACGTACGATAACAAAGTACGATATTCTGAAGGGGGCATCAAGTACCGGTGGAATTTCCTGGCCAAGTGCCACGTCTCCAAGAAGTTGATGATTGGCGACGCGATGAATAACGGCGATGTCTTTGCCTGTTATTTCTGTTGTGTGGAGGGAGCGGCCAAAGGCTGGATAGAGGACGGAGTGTCATCGCAGCTGGCCAGGCTGGGGGGTTTCGGAGAGAAAAAGGCGACGATGGCGAACGTGACGCCCACATTCACTGGATTGCAAGCGTTCCTGACGCATCTGGAGACGCACCGCCTTCCGGATCGGATTCCGGGGTTAATCGCGTCGAATGAGATGTATTGCATCGTGGGCAGAGTTGCCCATGAGCAAGAAGAATTTGACCTCAATCTGCCGCCACTGGGAGCATGACGGGAAGAATCACAGAAAGGGGGTTTGATGTCGAAGAAAAGATTTAACGGGGGGTGGATCTTGAGCGAGTTTCAGGATAATGGCTCAGAATCCATGACGAAACGAGCATTGAGGCTATACCCACCGAGTATTATCTCGAATAATCGGATGGGACTTTGAGAAGGGGCAACCCCGATATGTAGACTACTCTTTGAACATCATGCTCAATCACAGTGTCTTCTTTCTCGTGGACGAGATGTTCCCGACCTCCTCTTTGCTGAAATGGCTGGTCTACCCGGGGATTGCCTAGAGAACGAGAGGACGGAGGAGGATGGAGGAGCAGAGGGATCGAGGGGCCAAGAGGAACGATCGTTCTGATGGAGAGAGGGATGCTGACCACCGGATCGAGCGGAAGGACCAACAGCCGCCGACAGCTGCTCTGAGAGGAGCCATGATGAAGTCGTATGGGGACGAATTGCTTGTTGGGCACCACTGTAGTCAGCGAGCTAGAAACGGTAACTTTACACTTGACCAGTTGGACATCATCTGAGGGCAAAGGACAAGAAACGCGGCGAGAGGGTGATAACATCATCGTACATTAGCCGTGGCTGCCATGGCCAGAGGAGCGAAGAGGACGCCAACGCTGGGCTCGGGGGGTGCGCAACCTTGAGCCGCATTTTCCGGAAGAATATTGGCTCCATGATGGTTCGTACCCAGTAGTCGGTGGTGGTCGCTTGGTTACTTGGTCACGGGAGCGGAACCAATGGTTTGTCATCCAGCGAGTCCCGCAAATCCGAATGATGCCGGCCAGCAGCGTCTTGCTGTGTCTTTGGCATCTGTTTTTCCGCTCGTATTCTTTTTGGCGCATGAGCATTGGAAACCACGGCTGGACGAGGTAATCTGGGTGTATCGTGATCACGCTCCCCCCAATCGCCCCAAATAAATCAGATAGAAGAACCACTGACCACTCTTTCTCCTCACATCTCTCTGCCTCTGTATAGGTGCTTCCTTCTCTGTCCACCTCCCCCAGGCTGTCGTAGGTGTCCAGGTCCTGACCAGTGCAGTACAAGTGTCTGTCCCGCGATCCGTCAGCAAATCCATCCACCCGCCTTCGCGCACCCACTCAAGCTGCTCACTTCTCCCTTTCCAGCCTCGTTAAAATCACCACACCCACATTCCTCACGGCAATCCTGGGACCTGGGGTCTGCACATCGATCTAAGCAATAACCTTCTCGTCCCATAATTTCAGCAGCTGCAGCAGCAAATCACACTGCTGGACTTGGCTTTATCACTTCCTCATCTGGCAATCCTCTGTGCCTCCGGGAGCAGGTCCCCGTCACCACGGTCGCGCCCACGCTCGAACCTTCAATAAACGCACTGCGACAGGCGAGCTGCTTCGTACAAAGCCACACCACCGCATCCATCCATCGCCCCCTACCTGCCTCCCAGTTTCTCTCTCGATTCCTCTTCCTTTCTCACCATGACCTCCGACCTCCACCATTCTCTCGAGCCCTTCCCTCTCTTTATCGACTCGGCTCCTCCCAATTCGGCCAACTACTTCTCCTCCCCCATGGCCATGGCCGCCATCCAACTCCTGGCCACCTCCAGCTCTCCCTCCTCCCACGACTCCTCCCTCCGCAAGCCACTGGTCCCTATGCCGGTCAAGCTGTCAAATTACCTGCGCCTGCGATATTACCAATATGAAGTCACCTTCGGGCTCTACGTTATGACCCCGGCCGAGAAACTCGTCTTCAACTCGGTCATCCTCATCGCTTTCACTGCCCTGCTCTACGCGCTTTTCTGGGGTTTCCAGCCATTTATTGTCAACACGCTTTGCCGGTTAATATACTACATTACTGGATCTTTTTCCAGCGCGCCGCAACTTTGCTCATGACAGCGGCTGATCCAGCAACATCACTCACTGCCCAAGTGGACACTGGCTGTTGGACACAAGACGGCGAGCAAGGTTGCATGATGACTGCATATCTCGGAGGGAAACGCCGACGATAAATCGAGTTACTTCCGCCTCGACCCGTGGTGACCCTCGATCGAATCGAGCCGATCTCAACGGAGATCAACATGCGGGACCCTCAAAAACTCAACCCGAGGGGCGTCCTTCTAGCTCGAGCTTCGTTCAACGACTCCACGCCTCGAGATATTCTCTCATTACCCTTCCTTGCTCAGTTGAAGGATATGCTTCACATTTGGGCTGCGGCTGAATTCGACGCGTTCGCTACACACCACTTTGGAATTACTTTATCTCTGTCTCCCGACGGTCGGTATTCTGGTTTGATGACAACCGAAAAGAGCCAAATGGAATAAGCCGGCCCCTTGTCCGGATTGTATATGAGCAAAGAGGAGGGTAGGATATTTGTGTGGGCAAAATCACGAGAGCAGGGCTTGAGCACCGTGTTGGCAACGAGCCGTACATATTGTTGTTGTGTGAGAGTCACCATGTTGCTTCAATTGGGTGTTTCTCCGATTGTCTGGCTTATTTTTTTTTGGAAGATTGCCTCGCATTGAGCCGTTTGCAGGCGTCACGAGCCCCATGAACAGGAAAAGAGATATTGTTACCAACAGACTATAATAGACTAATATAATGTCCAACAAAGAAATCGCGTCTGATTTCCCAATGACTTATTCATCTGAATGAGAAATCATCACGTGGATGCGGTCCTCGGTACTTCGTCTTTGTATTCTTTATACGTTTCCGAAAGTACGAGCTCGTCATTGCTTGCGCTCCCCAGTGCTCTCTCACACATCTACGTGATATGCAGGCACAGACACTCTTTGTCTGTACCTAGGTTGGGCGTAAGGCGAAGCAGGGGCAGTGGAGTCGACTTATTTTTGAAGCACCCAAATGGAAGTACTAGGCACCAAGGGTCTGTACCTAGATCCGATTGAAGGACAGGAACTTCAGTCGGCCAGCAGCCACTCACACGCCCTCGAGGGCCGCGTGACGGCCTGGATTGGGGCTGGTGCGGGCTGTGGCTCCTTGGACTAGGCTGGACTAGGCCTGTTCCTGCATCTTGAGACACACCTAATTCCACGCCTAAGCCTTTCTCCGCTTAAACACTGCCCATCGTTTCTCTCCCAGCATCTACCAGTGCAGCCGAAGCCCTATTCTGAGCCACGTTGTCGTGCGTGGGTGCGCCCAGGCACTGCATCATCCATCATCCCAAGATCCCTCAACTGCGACCTTGATTCACTCACTTGCCGTTTGTTCTCCTCCCACCTTTCTTTGCAAACACCACGCTCTTTTGAACGCCCTCGCGCCCTAAACGAGAGACGGTTTCGCTCAAGTAATATATCCATCGTATCCCTTCTCGGCCTCAAATTTCCGCCCGAAGAGCTGCTCCTTGCTTCTTCACCAGGAGACACATCCTCTCTCCATCCTTCCGCGGTCTAATCAATCCACTTCTCGGCCACTTGTCAAGCTTCTCAGGTTGTCGACGTTCCAACCATTAGGGCCGGGTCTGTCGCTGTTGCTACATTCATCACATCGCTGGGGTTGAGCACCCTCCGTCATTACATCCAGAGCGCGTCAGAAATGATGGTGGTTCGAATCTAGCCTCAATCTCGCCTCTTCGGCTTCATCTACGACCCTCGCAGAGTCCCGTCCAGTCTCTTGAGCTGTGAATAACCAACGCTCATTTGCTCTCCTTCCACTTCCCGCGGCATAGCAATTCCACTCTTTTACCCTCTCACTCTCACACAAACACACAAAACTCCACACAAACCATGGCTGCCAACGACTACTATCAAGAGTCCTATATGGCTCAATCGTCACCGTCTTCCCGACCGCAAAATGAGAGACCAATCTCGCATATCGCCTTCGCTTATAATCCCCAAAACAGCGCCTCAAACCTCGATCCGTCACGCCTCTCTCAAGCGTATAGCGCGAGACCTATGTCTAATTTCTATGAACCTCACGACCCTACAAGACAGTCCGTACACGCGGACTCGATACCTCTGAAACACCAATCAAGAATTAATACGAATCAAGATGCGCCCGACTGGCGGAACCAGTCCACACAATATCCGCCCTCTCCCGACTCAAATTCCCCACAATTGCTGCCAGACTCGAAGGGGAGGAGGAAGATGGAGGGATCATTTGCAAATTTCTTCAAGGGCAAGATACCCTGGGTTGTGTATACCCTGAGTCTGGTCCAGATCACAGTCTTTGTAGTTGAAATTATCAAGAATTGTGAGTGCAACTGACCAGGAGGTCTGGGCGAAATGCTGACCGAGACCAGCGATTATCACTGGATCCCCTATTATGATCAAACCTCAGTTTAATCCCATGATCGGTCCGTCGACTTATGTGCAGATTAATATGGGCGCCCGATTTGTACCTTGTATGCGCACTACTCCCGGTGTTCAAGACAGTCCCGATCCTCCTACTTGGCCATGTCCTAATACTACTACGTCCGATCCAAATTCGCCAAGCAATCACTGCGATCTCAAAGCTCTGTGCGGGTTTTCTGGCTTCGATAACGAGCATCCGAATCAATGGTTTCGGTTCATCATTCCTATGTTCCTGCATGCTGGTCTCATTCACATTGCATTCAACTTGCTTTTGCAACTCACCATGGGTCGTGAAATGGAAAAGGCGATTGGCAGCATCCGATTTGCGATTGTGTATTTCAGCTCGGGCATCTTCGGTTTTGTCTTGGGTGGGAATTTCGCGGCGACGGCTATTGCATCGACTGGAGCATCCGGCTGTCTTTTCGGCATTCTCGCTTTGGTTCTCCTGGACTTGATATACGGCTGGAATGAACGGCGCCATCCTGTCAAAGACTTGATGTGGATTATGGTGGATATTATCATTTCTTTCGTTCTCGGACTGTTGCCTGGCCTGGACAACTTCTCTCACATTGGAGGCTTCCTGATGGGTCTTGCAGCGGGAATCTGCCTTCTCCATTCTCCTAATATCCTCCGTCAACGCATTGGCGAGTCTACCAGCATCAACAAGAGCTCCTACCGAAATGTCGGCTCAGAGCTAGATCTGAGCACTAACC